CTGGTAACACGACGTCTCATAGGTATCGGTGGTGACTGCGACCATGATGTTATTGAAAAACTCGACTCGAATCGTGCCAAAATGGGCGATTACGTGGCGGAGGAGGTTGTTGCCGCCTTTTTCGTTCTCGAATGAAGCGTACCAGTGGGCTATCTTGGCTTCTTGGTCAAAGTACGCAAGCGAAGACTCGTCCGAGTGTTGGGTGGCAGCCGGCCGCTCTGACAGCTTGAACACCCCCATAGTGTTGTGCACTGGATCGTCTTTGAACCCCAAGTACCCCCCGAACATGCTCCCCAGGACCCTCGTTTCTACCGCCATGGTTTTGTCCCCATTCGTTTGTTTCACAGAGCTGAAGTACCCCTCCCAGTCGGACGCGAGGGCCACGAGGTATCGCACGGAACTGCCCATGTACTCGGCACTGTTGAGCACCAGGTCTCGCTTGAGCACCGTGCTCGATATGGCAGTGGACGTCATGGTTCTGCCGAATAGCTTGTTGGTCGTCTCTTCGTAGCTATAGTACCCCGCCGCAGACGTAATGTACAGCGTCTGGCCTTCCAAGGCAGCCAAAGCCCGGGCTGTCACCAACTCGTTCTTGGGCACAACTGGAGTGGCGCGGTACAGATTATGTTTGAGTAGCGCGTCTTGGATCAACTGTAGCGTAAACGTGGCAATGTACAGCTCAGACAGGACGATTTCACTGGCCAGGCAATTCGACACTGTCATGGAGGAGGGAACCGTCGAATTCGAGATCAACACAAACAAGGCGGGGGTTTCCACCAACTGGCCATCGCTGGTGAATACACCAGAGCCAAACTGGCGATTGGATATGGAAGCTGCAACCACGGTGGCCCAGTCCTGTTTGGCAAACACTTGACGCATGGTGTGGTAAAAGAACTCGACAAAACTGATCATGGCCACGTTGTTCTGCCAGCCAGAGACCGTCCCGGGCCCCAACACGGTACCCAAATCCACGTTGGTGATCGTCGTAGCAGACGTCTGTTTCATACAGGGGGCGCCCGTCGAGTCCACGCAGACCGCCCCGTGCAAAGTAGCGTCCTCAGCACGGCACACAACCGTGTACGAGTCTTGGGTTCCGTCGGGGTTGTTCCGAACAATGGTTTCATGACGGGGGGTGAATGTCCCCGCGGGAAACTCGGACGATTGGAACACCATCGCATACAAACGCGCAAACGTTTTGTGGTCGGCGGGCGTGAGGACTTGGCCTAATTCGTCGATGGAATATTCCCCAGAGGTTTCAAAGACTTTGCGAACTTCTGGATTGGTTAAACTGATCGTCAGGGCTTCATTCACCACAGCCCGCACTTCGGGGCCAGTGAATTTGAGTTTGGCCGATTTGTCAAAGCCTGTAAACACCTGGGATGCCGTGGAGGAATTGTCGTAGTTAAACGTCGGGAGAGGAAACAACAGAATGTTCCGAATGGGGACCCCCACGGCCCAAATGGCTTGCACGAGAACGACCAACGTGACCAAGAGCATTCGAACTGAGACCGCTCGGCGTTTGGGGGTTCCGGAGTTTGGAGGTTTCGCATCGCCCTTGGCGCTGATCGACATGTGTCGAATCGGCCCCTTGACGTAACTAGCGGTGTTTTCCAAGGCCTTGAATTGGCTGTCGTTCATCGAGTGCAGTTTTTGGACTGTAAAACCACCATCGCCCACGATTAAAAGAAGCCCACCAGAGGCACTTTTGAACACTAGCGTTTCGTTGTCAGGGGAGCACGTCCAGCCTTCGAGCACTAGTCCCATATACGACCACTCTGTGCCTTGTTGGCTGAAAATGCAGTGGACATTTCGGGGAACTTTGGCGAGTTGCAGAGCATGGGAGATCGGGTCCTCGTGACGTGGAGGGGTGGCCTTGTCGAAGACGAAGCTGCTCAGCATCGCCACCATTCCCGCCACAGCAGACAATAAGCATGACAACGCCAAGCTCCAAATCGAGTTGTCATAATCTCTGTCGGTCTTGATGGTCAGAATGCGAACGATGTACACCCCCACAATGATCACTGCCCGAACTAAGTTGCTTTGCTGCGTGAACCAGCCATTCCTGCAGCGTAATCGAAGCAAGGTCGCTCCCACATCCATTCCCAACCGAATGAACCACGTCATCCCCATAGTCACCAAGATCTCGTCCAAATAGACGCTGCCGAGATGGGACGTCTTTGAGTTGGCGATGTACTCCCTGTCCTGGGGCAGCTGGTAACTGAACATAAACGGTGCGGTACTGCACGCCATCAAGGCGCATTCGCTGAACGAAGTCATGCCGAACTCTTCAATGTCTATACACAGCAGTGTGCGCCAGTCTTCTTGAAGTCCTGTGACTTTAGCCACGTGGAGCACCCGCAGAGCAAACCGCAGAGCCACCACGGCTGCAAAGATGTTGAGCACAATCCCCATACTCCACGCACTGAGCAGCAGAGTTCGGAGGCCTTCGGAATTGTACTGCGCTCGCGTTTCGTTGAAATTTTGAAACTCGGACCAGCACCGAGTGGACACATTCAAGTACCGCGTCTCCAGCACGTCGTAGCAGACGAGCGAGTTCTGGACGTTGCTGACAATCTCAGCAACGGGGCTGAACTGGGAACTCAGCCGCAGCAACCCCACGGACAACGCCGTGTGGCTCCAGTACACGGGAGGGCCTTCGTACTTGAAGATCGAGTTAACGCGGGTGTCGTTAAGGTATTCCTGTCGCACTTGAATCGATTGGCCTAGCTCCAATTCCATCCGCAGTCGAATGGACTCAACACTGGCCAATGTATCCCCAACTAAAAGCGACAGCGGACCATAGATTTTACTGTACGCTGACGTGGCAGAGTCAGCCGTCGTGACGCCCCCCAAAACGCAGTTGTCTGTATCGTGGAACATGAACGCTCCGTTGTCAAAATCCACCAACTGGGCGAAAGTCGCGTTCAGAATCACCAGCAGTTCCGCCGCCACGGCCGCCGCCCCATGTTTAAGCACAAGGGCACTGAGCAGGGGAACCATGGGCCACGCAGTTCCAAAGGCACTGGAGATGTTGGTGGGGTTGAATGTCTGGGGGACTCTGTAGCCGTACGCGTTCTCTCCGACCATCTCGTTTTTTAGCATTTGCTTGAGAAAGTAGAGCTGCGGGGACTGGTCAATGACAGACATGAACGCCAAGTGCTCTGTGACAGGGTGCCACTGTAGCAGCAGCAGCCACGACGCCTGCGCGATGCGCTTGAAGAGGGCTTGGAAGCACGCGGTTTCCATCGAAGGATCCAACGAACCGAATCGAAGGGCCGCCTTGTCGATGAGGTTGTTCCCCCTGTGGCTTTCATACTTGGAATACCAAGCGGCAATATCGCGTTCTTGGGCGAACCAGTCCGAGGCGTAGCCAGAGCCAGCCGCCACCGACCGCTCGGCCAGCTTGAAGTTGGTCATGGTGTTGTGCACAAAGTCAAACTTGAACCCGTTGTACCCGCCAAACATCCCCCCCAGCGCAGTGCTTTGAAAGACAAAGTCAGATCCGTTGGGGAAGATCTTGAGCACGCTGTAGTAGCTGTTGGGGTAGTACCCCATATAGATCATGTTGCGCATGGAACTGCCCATGAGGACAGACCCAGTCATGGGCCGATCTCCCTTCAAGTTGACCGAAGACACGGATGTGTGGGTCATCACAGTGGTGCCCAATGTCTTGATTGTGTCCCTGGACCCAGCAAAACCGGCGCCAGAAGTGATGCGGATGCTGCCACGCAGCACGACCAGGGCGCGCTCGGCTACGACGGGGGAGGTAGGGACCAGTGTCGTCGCGTTGTACAGATTTCGACCAATCAGCGCCGTTTGAATCGTGCTCAACGTGTAGTTGGCTAGGTAGACTTCGCCGAGGAGCAGCTCCGACGCCAAGCAGTTCCAGATCATACTCGAATTGAGCGCAATGTCTCGGTTGGATTGTGTGGCAAAGTTGAAAATCAGCGGCGTTTCAATCAAATACGCCTTGTCGTCGTCGGTGACGTATCCAAATCCAATGTCCAAATTGTTGGATGCGACGACCGTGGCCCAGTCTTTCTTGGCAAACACGAGGCGCATGTAGTAGTGAAAGTACTCGACCAATCCCAGCAGCCCAATGTTGTTTTGCCACCCCGTGCCGTTGAGTAGTTGGGTAAAGTCCACGTCTTTCAGCGTTCGAGTTTGAGTGGCACCCCACGCGCTGTCGTCGCAGGGCAGTCCATTCGCATCGATGCATATGGTCCCCCCCATGAGCGTTTGGTCCCCCCGACACCCAATCGTGTACACTTGCTTGGTTCCGTCCGCCTGGACACTGACAATTCGGTCCTCACGTTCTGTGAACACTCCCCCTGGAAACTCGGACGACTGAAACACCAGCGTGTAGTACTGCGCCATGATGTTGTGTTCTGCCGGCGACAATACTTGGCCGAGCTCGTCAATTGCAAAGTCCGAATAATGCTCGAAAATGGCTCGGACTTGATGGTTGTCGAGTGAAAGCGCAAGGACATCAATCAACAATTGGTGCACTTGCGGGCCAGAATACATCAGGTTGGCTTTGGGGTCGTAGCCAGCATACGGCTGCGTCGATGTCGAAAGGTCGTCGCTGCGGAATTGGGGGTACGGAATGACTGCGACGTTCTTTATTGGAAGCACCAGTGCCCACACGACTTGGACGATCACAACCACCACGGCGCATTGGCGAAGGAGCTTCGAGTGCCGGGAAGACCGGGGCTGCTTCAAGGTGTGGATGTGAACAGGGCTAACCACTGATGGTTTGGTTGGTTTCGCCATGGAAATGTCAAACTGAGGTTTCGCTCGGACGTTTCGTCCATGGCTTGCTGTGTTCGCAACGGACATGTGATTTTGTGTATACATTGCAAGATAAAAATAGGATGGATATTCCTGTACTCCCTCCGCTCCAAAATAATTGCGCGAGTTTCAGGAGGGTGTACATGACACCTCATTATATTTCGAAGGTAAATTGGAAACCTGGTGTCGCCTGCCTGGATTCGAAATGCGTTGCTTTGATTGGATCATTACAACTAGCGTAGCCAGCGCTCTCTATTGGTGCGATGATGAGCGGGAAATCTCAAGAGTTGACGGCGCTACCCGCGTTCAAAATTGAGCATACAAATTTTCATATAAAACATGCACTCACTGTATAACACCAACATTCCGGAAATGGCACCTGAAAGGCGCAACCTCACCAACGACGAGCGCGAGGCCATCTTTCGGGAGGTCTTGCTTCGCAGCAACGGCAGCTACATGACCAGGCTACCGAAAGGTTTCAGCCAGGAGCTGGCGGACAAGTACAACTGCCGTCATTTGATTGGTCCTGAGACACAGATTTTGCATGCTTTGATTGGACAATTGTATCGTTACACCTGTATAATTACATTCTGGATTATTTGATATTGGAGGGTTTGTATTTTTATTCGAGGAGGCGTACATCCATTTTCTGATTCGCGCAATTATTTTGGAACAGAGAGAGTATAACGTTACATGTGGATTTCAGGGTTGAAGTTCCATTCGTCGAACATGTATTCGAATTCCTGCACAACGAGCGAACTACAACAAGGGGGGCTACAAGACGAGGGTTACCACCAATGACGTTGTTCCCCGGTAGGTAAAGTAAACCATGACTGGTAATGTTTCTACCGGTTTGGTAAAATATAAACGTGAAGTAAACGAAATACTAGTACTTCGTAATATACTGCAAGCGAAGCGAAATATAGAGAAGTACTTCGTAATATACTGCAACCGAAGCGAAATATAGAAAAAAACTGAAAATAACCGCAAAAAGGTGTAGTTCTGCCAGCGGTATAATTCAACCAACTATCGTTTAATTTCCGTTTTGTCAATCTATTTCATCCAGCATCCGATATATTTCGACCAACGATGTTCTCTGCTGGCTCTCCATCGATGGTTTCGCTTTCGCGCGCTTCCACCATTCGAAGCTTCATTCAGAAAGGAGCATACAGTACTGCGCCACCCCCGCGAACGTCGACGTCTTGTACAACATGAGATAAGCCCCTGTCGCGCGGTACTGCACCGACGCTGTCCTTGTAAGTGGTTGTGTTATATCTCTGTCTCGTAGGAATTCCTATAGTACCGTAGTCGGCCTATCGTCACTTGTGCGCACATCTACCGTGCATTGGGCTCCTCTCGACGACATCGCGTGTGAACATGTCAGAGGAGCCCAATGCACGGCGGATCTGCTGTCCGAAACAACGAGGTATCTCTGATGATGTCGATGTTAAGCAATCAGCGTTCCAACGTAAAGTCATAGATCAAACAAGTAGAAGCATGTATCGGTGGCGGCAAGCCAAGTTGTCACTTGTGAGCATTGTGTAGTCATGGCCATGGAGTCCAACATGCCGAAAAGTCGCAAGCGTCACCCAGGCCGTAGGTAGTTAGATTACGTTAGATATATTGTCAAGGCGATTTGAAATTGGAGTGAAAGGCTCAATCAAATGAGCAGCACTAAATCGGCAGACAATCGATCGACCAATCAACACCCAGATCACTAAACAAGTAGCCAATCAAATCCACTCTTCGACCAAATCAACATCGAATTACCGTAGAGGTAGTGTGTGCTGAAATTAGTATGCCCTGGAGGGTATATACAAAAGTCATTCTACGCAATTCGTAGGCCAGAACTTGACTTTTCTATGCATCACATGCCAAAAGGGAATATGAGGTGTCCTAATGGTAATGTCATTGATACAGTGCTGGACAAAAAGGGTTAGTACACTTGATTTTTACTTATATTTGTCCAATCAACACGCGTTAAGGATCAGCTTCATCCAATCAAAGAGACGAATACGTTGGTATGTTTATATTACAGGCACGTTGTATACGTGCTGAGTAATGTTAAAAAAAGTTCGAATGATTGGTTTTTGGACCGGACAAAAAACATACTACGTAGTAGGTACACAGTCCATTTACGCGGGTGCAAGCTCTCATCGATCGTACAGCTACCTACGATAGACGTGTATGATAGCTCGAAATATGCATAGACAATAACACTCATGCATGCATGCATTATACATGGCACAAGGCGAGCGTTTAACCCTGCACGAGCGTGGGTCGATCCTTGCCTTTCGCAAGGCAAAATGGACCATTCGGAAGAGTGCCGCCGAGCTCTTCTTGTCAAAGGGAGCCGTCGCCAACTTCATCAAGAACTCCGACACCTACGGAACGAAGCCCATTCCAGGACGGCCTCTCAAACTGGCAGCGCGTGACGTTCGTCGTGTGCTCCGAGAAGCATCAGAAGGAAGGAGCAGCTCGTCCAAGATCCAACACGACCTTCAACGCGACGTCACGGCGCGGATATTGCGTCGAGTGCTTCAGCGCTCCAAGCGCTTTATATACAAGAAGAGAAAGACCACCTCGCGTCTGACCAAGGTCCACAAACAAGCCCGAGTCGACTGGGCCAAGGAGCATGTCGTCCAAGGGCCGCACGTCACTCGCAAGACTCGTTTGCCTACTGTGACACCGTGGCTAACTTCATGCTTCCCTTTGCCCATGCCGAACATGTCGAGGATTTCTTGTTTCAACAAGATAATGCGAGCATCCACGCCAGCAAAGAGACCACCGCGTTTTTGGCTGACATTGGAGTCGACGTTTTGAGCTGGCCGTCGCTTTCTCCGGACCTCAATTCGATCGAGAATGTTTGGGGGTACTTAGTCCGTAAGGTCTATGCGAATGGGAGGTAATTTGCAACGGTTGCTCACCTGAAAGACGAGATTTTGCGTCAGTGGGACGCCATCGATCGATCGTACTTGTTTAAACTTGTAGATTCCATGAAGTTTAGGTGCATCGATGTCCTGAGTGGACAAGGATGTTGTACTAAGTACTGAGGTAAAATTTCACGAATGAAAGATCAAAACTTTGTGTTTGCCGTGAGTTTAAATATTCTGTACCTATGTTTTTTGTCCAGTCCAAAAACCCATCGTTCGAACTTTTTTTAACATTACTCAGCACGTATACAACGTGCCTGTAATATAAACATACCAACGTATTCGTCTCTTTGATTGGATGAAGCTGGTCCTTAACGCGTGTTGATTGGACAAATATTGAAAAGAATACAAGTAAAAATCAAGTGTACTAACCCTTTTTGTCCAGCACTGTAGCACTAGGTATGCCGCGTTAGCAGTGCGCAAGTTGTGCTGCGTTGTATTAGTACGTAGTAGAAAGGAGCGATCGTTATGGAAGAGTTATAGTGAAATGTTGATAGTTGAGCTGGACGCGTTTGCGAATATCAAGACTTTATGGAAATTCTTACTAGTATGTGGACCATAAGCACATAAGAGAAGTAAGTATATCTCTGTTATGAAGCAAGTATTGAATTTACGGGTCAAGTTGTTGACAGAGTACTAGTATACTGCAAGCTAAGCGAAATATAGTGAAAAAAAGCTGAAATTAACCGCAAAAAGGTGTAGTTATGGTTTTTTATACACGGATTATCCATGATTTATTTAGCTGTTTACTTCTTTCTTCTGGTCCAAACCATATAGACTTAGCTACCGTACTCGTGACCTAAGGGCCAGTTCGAAGTAGAAATGTCAATCTTCCCCGAAAGGAGTGCGAAGTATTTGTCGTTCCGTAAATCGTCTCTTGCCATGATAGCACCCTCTGATATGATTGGTCCACAAAATAGGAGGCTAACGTTAAGTGACAGGGCCACATGATTGCACATCATCTGCCACCACTTTTCAACATGGGTCGATTGGTGAATTCGAAGACACCAACCAAGAAGGACCTACAGGAGCAACTACGACAAATGCAGCAATCAATGGACCAACTACCACCGAAGCAGGCAACGAGTTGTTAGCCCCCACGTCGTTCGATCGTGTCGCCGTGGCCACAATCGTGTACAGCGATGATATGGTTGTCGTGTTACTCGAGCTTTGCATTGGGCGATTCCGCGATGCATTTACCAAGTGCAGCTCCAACCAGAAACGAAGCAGCTTGTGGGAACAGCTGCGACTTCAATTCAACATCGTTGTGGGGGGCGATAACGCCACAACGACAACGTCCCTCAAGAACAAGGAGTACGACCTACGTGCAAAATTCAAAGTCATTCGTATCAAGGAAGCCGCAAAAGGGAATGATACCGATACATCGATTGAGTACCCATCATACTGGGAAGACATGGTGGTTGCGTTTGGGGATTTCGGGGTTAAATCGAAGCGGATACGGTGTCAGCAAGTGACCGTACAACTTGTATCCTACTTGCGTGTGGCATGTTTTGCCAAAGCGGAACGCACGAAACAAGACCTTGTCATTTTGACTCCCCGGACGAATCGAATCCACCATGGCCGCGGGGAAGCCTTTTCGACAGTACCACCCGTCATAGTCCGTAAAACGCTTGATCAGTATCAACGTTCAATCGATGGCCCCGTACACGATTGGTTATCCCGCCACCTCCTCAAATCCAGACCGAATCGCTTCCGGGTGGTCAGGTCATGGGTGGTCCGGCCATGGTGGGACTTGGAGTCGCCGGCGGCATGTCCAATCACGCCTGAGGTAGTATATATATGCGCATGTGTATTGCTTAGTACTCAAGTATGCTGTCGAGTCGTAGGATCAATGGGTCGTTCACCCGCTGCTTGTTGCAGGCGTGGCTCTCAAGATTTAGTCGACGTGACCACTGACGAGATGACAGGGCCACTGGGCCAAGTGCTCTGAACATCAAGGGTCCGTGTCTACCTGGGTACGAATGTCCATACATGGTTTATACTTCTGAATATTTATGAATAACACCGATCTATATGCAGCCTTCTTTACACGAGGCATTAGTTGCTTTCGTCAAGGATGTCCAATGAAACTGGGGGGGGGCGGATCAATCACTCGTCCAGATGCACGAGCTGGCGGTAATGGATAATCCTTGCATTGCGATGCCCCAGTCGATGAGTGCCTTGTAGTGCTTTGAGAACAGCGCTGGTTCCCTTCGATTGCACGTTGTTGCTGCGCAGAAACTCCAGCGCAGCGATCTGTGCGGCAGCTCCTGTGGACAGCACGTCGTCGCGGAACGTTTGGCTGTCTTCGTCCAGCACAAACCCGTTGGGTAAGAACAACTTCATATAGGCTACGATGTGCTTCGATGTGTATTTATTCTGCTTCGATGCGCTGCCATTGTAGACCCTTGGTTCGAGTGTGTACCACTCATATCACGTGGACCGTAAGGAAGCAACTGAACATTGCTTCTGCCGTTTCCCTTTGCTGTTGGGCATGACCTGCCCGACTTTGACCTCACTTTCCTTGCGCTTTGGTGTGGCACAAGTTTGAAGCTTTTCCTCAAGGGCTTGGAGGCGCTCCTCTTGTAGCCGTCCGATATCGATGAAGTGGTCAATGACTGATGCCTGGTGTCGAATGAGTCTTTGTTCTGCGGTCTCGTCTGATGGTGGGGAGTCGTTCGACAGATCACGAGTTGATGCTAACGGAACGGCTGCTACTCTGATAGGCGTGCTCAAATGGGACGACCATGCCAACAAGTCGACGTTGCTGCTCCTTGCCTAGGCCAGCGCACTCCTCGAGGCGCATGATGGCAGGGCTTGAAGGGCTCAGCTGCTTGAGACTCGGATAGTGCAAAAGGAGGTACGTTGTCAACGTGTCAACAACACGCTTGTTGAGATTGAACGATGGATTACCAAGCCCAGTACACGTTGCAAATAGATGGCCCTGGACAGCGCGGATGCTTTCGGTCGTCTGCGAATCGAACGAGGTAAGATCAAAAAGCACAACTGGTTCGTTTGGACACCCGCTCAAAACTTTGGCTACTTTGTGGTCTTCACTTTAGGTGTTGAAAATGTAGTTGAAGCCCTTCTTGGTTGCGGAGATGTTCCACGCCCCGGTCGAAGATCCAACGCTCCGTTAAGTGCTGTGATCCGTTCGAGTGTTGCGCTCCACCACGACGAAACGAGTGAGATGTCAACTTGACGTCGATGCCTGAAGCATCACCAATGCGACCAAGGATACGATTCACGTGACTGTGAATGGTAGGTTCGCGAGGCCTTGTCGCAGCCGAGGCCTTCACGTTCGTTGGGACTTCAATGGGACCGGGATTGTCCAGGACCTTTTTACAATATGGCTGTGTTATTTGTTTGCCTCATTATTTGTATACACATAACGCATAACATGAAACAAACTCCGACGGCATCTGCATAGATGACCACCGAGGACCCCTAACCCCCTAACCCTAACCGTTTTGATTGGCTATAAAAGCACTGCCGAAGCAATAACGTTAGACAGAATTTCACGTCTTGTCACCTTCGTCTAGTTGACCGCTTCCGAAACACAGTCAAGGGCATGGATCAACCGCCATAGAGTTCGTCGATCGGTACGACCGACAAGCGATGGAGTCGCGTATGATCATTCGGTCTGGCATGGCATTCAGAAGGGCAGCAAATGGGGCTGCTTCAACCGCAAGAACTGGCAGTTGTGCTTTGTGGTGCTAACCACCACACATTTCAAGTACTTTTCGAGAAACTCAAGAGACAAGTGGACTTAAGTCAACGTACTGTGAGGGCATCGAAATCACGCTGCTGGATTGTCCAAGACTGTAGTCAGTCGCAAGTCGGGCGCATTTCAATTCGCGCGTGAACGAGGTGATTTTCAGTATCATGGCCGCGTGGCCGAAGCCGATATGAACAGGTGGATTGAAGCCGCAGCGCCAGAAGTTTTGCAGACACGAGACCGTCGCTGTTCGCCGAGTTGTTTAGAGGGCTGCATCCTCTAAACAACTGTTGCCAGCATAACTATGACTACCTCGTAGTACTAACAAGCGCCATTCAGTGTATGGTTTCAACTGAATCAACCCCGACACGTTAAAGCGGGGTAATCACTGGTGATCTTCTCGACAACATTTCTGTTCAGTCAGAACCTACAAGGTACTCCTCAACGATTGCAAGAGCATTCGACTGCACCAAGCCGAAGCGACAGCACTGCTTGCTGGCGCACCGCCGCTCCCACCACTCACGCTCAACGCCCACGCACAACTAGATCCGGAGCTCACCGAGTGGCTCGCGGACAACCGCTCGACGGACGAGGTGATCGCAAAGTCCATCCGCAACCACGTCGATGAATTGATCAAGTTGGAGAAGACGGCCATTACGCGCTGATGCGCTCTGGTCTACGCCTCCTTGTCACCCACGGTCCAGCGTGATGCAGCTGCCATGGCCCAGCGCGATGTCGCTGTCGGGATTCACGACAAATGTGCGCATTGCCTCATTTCGTAGCTGCGTCTATGGCGGAAGTTTTCCAGCGACGAACAAAAGTATGCAACGGCCATCTCCGTATACCAACGGTTACACGCGTTCAAGTTCAAGTGTCAAGTGTCGTTGGACGTCAACCTCCAAGCCTTCCACAAGATGCGAACGGAAGTGGAGAAGCTGGAAGGGAGACCCCTCAGCGATAGCCACTTAGCCTCGGCCCTCCTGGCGGCACTACCGGGGTGCATCGCTCCAGACCTGTTTGTATGGCGCGGTGCTCAGCCGAGCATCCCATACAAGAACATGCGCCAGTTGCTTGAGCAACACTGACTGGGCTTGATCACCAAATACCCGCACTACCTCGGCCCAGCGCCGATCGCCGAGCCTGCACTGGTGCATGGCTCGGCAACAGTGACCGCGACAACGCAGTAGTATGTGTTAAGTGGATTTTGTGCACTTCACCCCTAGAGAAAAACCGTAAGCCCCACCACAGAGACGCAATTCAGCAACATTTTTGCCGAACTCCACGGTGCACCACAAACCCACTCGTACACAGAATCAGCATACAGTATCAGCATAAAAAGCGGCTCGATCACCCCTCAGATCGAGCTTCTCAGACTGAGTTGATTCTGACTCAAGCAAATATAGGTTATATAATCAAGCAATTCATCAAGTGAAATAGTCAACACAACAATGAATTAAGTATGGTCCAATCGTACGTGTACAAGATTTGTAATATTGATGTTTCGGGAGTGTGTGTGGGCTCAACAACTCAATCCATTCAAACGCGTTGGGTAAAGCATCAATATGCATGTGGTAAGGGTAAATCGGGAATTCTTTTTCCATACATAATCGATCAAGGAATTGTCAATTTTCGAGTAGAGTTGATTGAAACTCTTGAGGATGTATCCAAGCAAGAATTGCTAATGCGGGAGGATAACTGGATTCGAACTATTGAATGTATCAATACATTGCGTCCGTACGTGCATGAAGATGAGCAGGCCGAACGCAATCGTGAGCTTCAACGTGAGGGTAATAGTAGGCGTGTAATTTGCATATGTGGAATTGAACATTTTCGCGGAAACAAAATTAATCACATTCGATCTCGCAAGCCTCAACAGCGAATGAATCAACAATAAGCCAATCTCATCATTTTTTACTTCAAATAATTAATATTCATTTGAATTCAAAATCCATTCATGAATACCACAAAGGTAAAACCCTTGATGAAATTGCCGCAATTGATGAGCAATACATCATCTACCTGCTAACGACGATTGAGTATCTCAAGAAGAACCAACTAGTATACATCTAACGACTCGTACAGGGTAACGGTCGTAACCTGTGCCCCGGGGTACTATTCTAGAGTACTCCTGGACCGACCCTAGATTACCTGGGTACCTCGCGGACCAACTTCAACCTGGTCGCCAAGCATTACCCATGACCGTAGAATACTTACTTGAACGTCGGAAAGTACGACGTCATCGCTTCTGCTAGATAACTAACCTTGACTTTCACTTCTTCCTTTCTTACCACACTTGTGTCTGGTCTTACGCTCACCTGCGCCGCGACTACCCTGTGGACCCTTTTATCGTCAAATCCCCGTGACATTCTGGTGGAGAAGCAGGGTAGGCTTTGCAAAGGGAGTTGAAAGAAGAAGAGGAAGATGTCAACGGAAAACCAACCATCGACGACGGCGCGCTAGTCAAGACGCCTTGCGGGAGAAGCACCAGAACCGCGCGTCAAGCCGCTGAAGAAACCAGCACTGGCCACGGGTGCTGACTTGGCTCTTGAGCGTTAGTCACCCAAGCACTGAACGTCGGGACCCAGACTCGCCTAAGCAGGTGCTCCGTCAAACCGCGCGTGGCCTTGGTGGAAATGACGCCTACGCTCTCGTTGCAGGACTTGAAGTGATCCGGATTACTCAAGGTCCACGCCTCTATCAGTGGCGCCACGCCGGCGGCCTCTGACACCAGCAAATGTTGTGCGACCCAATCCCAAAACGACGGGACGGCATCTTGAAAGTGCTCGTTGGCATGCAACAAGGCTGTGGCCGATGTCCGCTCGCTCTCTTGGAACGCCTGAAGCTTCTTCCCGAGATCGTCGCTGGCTTGTTTCTCCCGAAGTAATTTCTCCAACTGGGCCAAATCTTCGTGGTGACGCTTGTCCTGGCTCTCTTACCCCTGCACTCAGACCTCCAAGGCCCCCAACGTTTGCAATGCGTCGGCCTGGAAGGTCTCGGTATAGCCCCGGGGGTTCTTGTTTCTAACGCGGGAGTCCTTGGCCCTCGCTTTCTGAGTCTTCGCCGCCTCCCGGAGGTCTTGGTTCTCGGTCAGCAGGATGTCCCAAGCCAGGTTGCTAGCGGAAAGACGAAGAGGTTGCGCTTCGAGTTGCGCGATGCGGGCTTGGGCGACTCTGAGTTGTTCCTGAAGTTCTTCCGCCGTGGTGAGAGCTCGGTCCCGATCCTGACGCGCCTATTCGGAGGTTTCCCTCTCACCTCGAGGCTGCGGCGAAGGTCCGACATCTCGGCAACCACCAACGACTTGTTTTGAAGCGCCAGCTTGACAACCCCTTCCTTCCCGGCGACCAACCTGGCTGAATGCGTAATGTAGCCCCGAGCGTCGATCACATCAGCGGTCATGACTTCCATGGCCTGGTCTGCCTCTTGTACTCGTCTCTCCAGCTCGGTGACCTTCTCTGTTTGGGCCGTCAACTGGCTCGCCAGATCCCGGCGTTCTGCCCGCTGGTTGCTCAGCCTGGCTTGGACCTGGTCGCGTTGCTGCCGAAGGTCGTGTTGTCCTTGCTCTAAGGTCCGGAGCGACTTTTGAGCCTCTTGTAGCAAGTCGTTGGTCCCATCCCGTTCCGTGTGGGCCACATCCAAGGCCCGTTGACTGGAATCAGGGCCGTCCGGAGGTCCAGGACTTCGGTGTTCACTTCAGACAACGTGGCTTTCAAGAATTCCACTTCTTCAACCAGGGCGTGACGAGCTTGCGACATGTCATGGGGACCGCTCCCCAAGGTCGACGCCATCGCTGCGCGGACTTCCTGGAGGACGCTTAACGATCGTTCGTTTTGCTGAATGCTGTTGCGCAGGTCTACGATGCCATGGCATAGAACGGTGTGCATGCGCAAGAAGGAATATGGCGAGGCGTGGGCACCCGACCCTGGAGTGGCCACCTGCTCAGCGAGCGTCGCGAGGTCTCCGGCGGAGGAGGCTGTAGCGGCATCGTCATCCAGCACCCGGGGAAGTGGCGGCGGGTGCCCACGGCCGGGCCATCGGTGGCGGTGTCATCCCCGCCGAACTGTGATCCATGTTGTGTGGCCTCCGGGACAGGTTGCGGAATGAAGCGACCTCTCTGCATACGCCTTTCCAGAATGCGGGATTCATTCTGGGCCGCGGCGCTAACTGGCCTTTCTCGCCCAACGACCTTCTCCCGGACCCTGCGTGCTGATTGGTCTTTGCCGGAGCTTCGGACTTAAGCGGGGGAGAATGTCACGGGGTTAAAGAAAGCGGCTTCCCAACGGCGTTTCCTGGTAACAGTCGTGTCCCTTGTTACCGGATCATCATCCCACTGTACCTCTGGGACTAATCTGTGTCGAACCCGTTACTCCCGGGACCAGCAACAGCCTGATCCCTGAAACTCCACAAAGTGTTCTGGTGACTCTTTGAACATCGGAAAGACGCCTCCACGGAGATAGCTATTATCCTTGACTTTCACTTTTGCCATACTCTACACACTTGTGTCTTGTGTTTCGCTCGCTCGCGCCGCGTCTACCCTAGTCAAATAGCCACCAAACCCCGTGACACTGCAAGTCACGCTTTGTGATTTCAAAATGTCCATCACAAGTAAACCGACCCCCACTGCGTCTGCTGTCATACGTGCGATTTGATGTGCCCAGTAAGTCGTTTTGAGCGAAATTTACAGTAAAACTACGAAGTAGAGATGTGAGATGTGACACTGTAGGAGTATTCCAGGAGATGTACCCTCTTAACTTCATCGTGTCGAAGGATGGTTCCCAGCGATAGATCGCTCCATCTCGACTGATGTAAGCCAAGGAGTGGTTAAGGGGAGTTGTGCGTGTTGCAGAGTACTCTTTCTGCTGCGGGTTCGGATTTGAAAGCTGCAGAAAAATGACGATGCGCTATTTAATTGGTCAATTGGATTAGATTTTCTCGTTTTGATTGGTCAAAAACAATAGCAGTACTGTACTTTTTGGCCGATTATTATTACTCCGGAGTAATAATATGGAACGTCAAGAATCTCCTTTGGAGTGTAACCGTAAACTGGGAAGGTGTGGCGTATACTGATTTCCCTCTGACTTTTAAACGGGGCAAAATCTATAATTTTTATAATCTTACATTTATTAACTTACACACACGTTTTGAAAATTCAAATGCTAAGCGTGAAAGGCATCAATACTGTAGCGTTGTGTTATTCTGAAACATGAAGGTGCGCATGTCCTTGGTTGACGAGTATGAGTTGTGTGCTGAGCATACTCGTCGCCCAGAAGCGACGTACTTTGACTAGCGGCATGGGCGGCGAACACATTTGCACTCGATTCCGCTCCAACAAAAGCTACAATTGGGAATGTAATTAAACGACATCCAATCTGCAAAACCTAGCGGACAACAAATTTCGTTCGATTAACCGAGAATGAAGTCCTCCAATGGGTACTACGCTGTGAGGAACTGGGCATCATTGCCTCTTTCAAGGCAAAGGTGAAACAACGGCAGCTTCAAAACGCCCTGGATCAAATTCAAGGAGTTATTGAAGGACGTCAAGATCGGTTGTACGAAGTACTTATCGTCGTTGCAATGGGCTGGGCGAAGGAAGCATGGCGCGCAGTATCGCCATCGACGGTGACCAACTGCTGGAATCGTACGGGCATACTTGATAGTGACTTGGCTGCCTTTAGTGGGCATGTGGCTGCAATGAGTGTCGAATAGGAGTTCATTTTTACTGGTTGTCATGGGTTATAGCAATAATTAATAACTTCAAAAGATTATATACTGTGGAGTATGTATAATGTTGGCCGTTTAAAAGTTGGAGGGAAATCAGTAGTCGCATTCGGAACCGTCCTCATGCACCTTGAATTGGAGCTGGCAAACAGCGTCCCACACGTCTTTGTTGGCGACAAAAAGGGCGTTAGAGTAGAAGAGGATGCGAAAAAGCTCAAAAGTCTTCACGTGACCTTTGCGAGCCGAGAGAGCGTCTGAGTTCGCAGGGAAAAGTCGCCGTTTTGATCAGGTTGAACTGATCGTCGAGGGTGGTGAAGAGAGTTTCGGCACTGGTGTCTTCGGTGTACTTGATCTGTGAACAGGATCATGGGGTCGCAGGTGCCGGATTCATGGCGCGCCATAAGTGCGGCCCATAGAGAGAAGGGAGTGGCGTAGGACCCGATGACTTGTTGGAGGATAGGCGCGAGAGAGTTGAAGAGGAATGCCTTAGCTTGGACGCGTAGGGTAGGGAGGGACTCTGCGATGTACTCGTCCAGAAACTTGCGAGTGAAGTCTTGTTCCAGGCGTTTCACTGTCGCAAGGCGTTGTTCCAAGGCGTCGCCAGCATAACCGTCGGTGGAGTACTTCGCGTCTTTTCGAATCTTGTCGCCCTGGTGTTTGATCTGGCTAATAGTGTAGGCGTCGATTTCGATGCGTGTGGGGCAGTAGGTCTCGGTGGTGTAGAGGGAGAAGAAGCCTGCGCTCACGACCCCTTCTTAGAAAGTAGTGCACCACGCATCTTAGAACTTGTAGGCGTCGTCGAGGAGAATGCCGGAGTAGGCGGTAATGGTCGAAGCAGGAGGGCTGCTCATAACCTGTCACGAAGTAGGAAACAGGAGGTAGGTTAGCCGTGTAGCAATTTTGCGCAGAGTGTTCATGACAAACCAAGGGTGCAGGACTGGGGACAACGGAAAGTGAGATTCAGTAGTTTACAGGCTACCTAGCATCGTTCCTATTGGCTAAAACTCAGTCAAAGGGAAACACTGGCAAGTGCGAATCAGCGCTCTTTTCCTTGTGCTAGAGCCGTGATTGGATGAGCAATCACTAGGGTAGGGTAGCGACATGAAGAATACACAGAACATGCAAGTATAAAGCGGCCACTGACTCGGTCTGTCAGAGTTGATAGACTAGGCAATAGAGATTGGGAGACTTGATAGGCGAGGACAAAAAGACGTGACCACAGGCGAGGGAAAAGCACCACTTGACAGTATCAATACTATCAAACGCCATGGCGACATATTCATCACGATGATGGGGTTCCTGGATTGGGCAAAAAGCACTAACGTTTTACGAACGACTAACAGACGTAGGCACACAACACACACAGATGTAGTTGTAGTGGCTCAAAGGAAGGTGATTCAGAAGTGAGCTTAGCTCTATAACCTCCATGATTATCATCGCCAAAGACATGTATACATGTAAGTAGTGCAACCTTAGCTGCTCTGATTGAAGTTTGTCATATCTCTCAATATATGCAACCTTCAAGTAGTGTGTGTAGGATCAAAACAAGGTAGCTATTGGCCCTCGACACACTGAAGTAGTCGAGGGATGTGATGCCTGGAGCTCATCCAGCTTCAATCTCATATATGTAGCTTTATCTATGTAATTTCAATCCTTGCCTGCCTATGGCTAACACTCCCACTAAGAGCTCTCTGGTTTCACCATAGCTAGATCTTGCACACCCATCTTTGCCCTTAAGCATGCAAAGTGTTGCTGAGCTAGTGGCTTAGTCAGTATGTCTGCAATCATCTCTTTTGATGAGCAATAATTTAAACCTTTTTTCTTCTTTTCACGAGTGAAGAGTGTTCAAATATCAATATGCTTTGTACCCTTGTGGTTTCCTGGGGTTTGACGCAATCAATTGCATCACGTCTGTCACACCATGCTGTTATTGGGCGGTTTAACCCATTTTACTCAAAAGTGTGTGAATCCATTCGCATTCTTCACTAAGGGCCACTAACTCTGCTTCTGCTGTGGATAGCGCTACGCAGTGCTGTTTAGAGCTCGCCCAGCCGACACAAATCCCTGCTATCCGAATTAAATATCCTGAGACGGATTTACGATCTTTTGACTGACTCGCGAAAGAAGCGTCCGTGAAGACTTCGTAGTGTATCTGTTCTGTGTTACCATTGAGATAGAGTCCATAGGTGGACGTTCCTTTTAAGTATCTTAGGATTCGCAAGGCCGCTAGCCAATGCCTTTCATAGTAGCATGTTAGAAATCTACTTAGATCGCGAACTGAATTTGCAATGTCAGGTCTCGTACCTCTGACGAGATACTGATATGATCCTGTAAGTCCCCTGTAGTCGTAGGGTTGTGCATCAATCTGCTCCATTGACATGTTGCTTTCAGCAATCAACTCTTGCCCTACTATTTGACGTGTCGATACTGTTGATGCTTCGGTCATACCGAACTTTTCCATCAAATCATTGATGTACTTATTCTGAGAAATCGTCATAAGTCGATTCTTGCGGTCACGTTTGACCTCCATTTTGAGAATGTAACTGATCTTGCCAACATTTTCATCTTGAAGTGGTCAGATAGTTCAGCCTTTATTTTGTTCACACTTTGGACAGTTGGAGAGACTATAGTAATGTCATCTACATATACAACTAATATGACCCAGTCGCTTTCTTTGGTACAGAACACTTGGCTCAATTCTCCCACTTTTAGGACGTAGATACAATACTCTTTGTAGCACAGTACACAACCCATCCCTGTGAGGAAAGCACGTAGCACAAGGTGGCAACCTTGTACTACGAGTCGTGCTTTGTAACGCTCAATATTACCATTGGATAAATATTTTACATTAAATACCCAAGGGCAGGGAAGAACTTTTTCATCCAATGGCATTCGACATATCCCATGTGTTTCCATGAATGGGTTATATTCAGAATCCAGTGCCTGCACCCAGTTGGCGCGTTTGTCACATTGCATGGCTTCCTTGTAAGACTTTGGTACTTTATGACGCATGCGATGCTTATCAACAGCGATTTTGCTGGTTAACTTTTAACCATACTAGTATTGCAGCTATACTGCAGACGACTGCGTTATTGTCTTTTATGTGCACTTCGTTCTAAGTATGTTACCGTTTCAATTGGCATGGTTTAGGGAGAGATGTTTTGGAAGCAACTCCCACTGTCTCTACTGTAGTGTCAATTTTAGAACGTATGTTTCGTGGCTCATCATTGCCAGAAATTTCTAGTGGACGTTTGGAACCACTTAGTTCCTTTATTTCGCACAATTCGTCGTCATTTAAAACGGTATCATTAGTTTCAAACGCATTACGAATGAACTCTTGTGATGATACAGGGTCGAATAGAATGTCCCTTGCGACGAAGTAGCGATCTCGTTCAATATCAAGAAGACGGTAACCCTTGTACTCTTCAGAGATACCGAGGAATCTACACTTTGTAGCTCTACCAAGAAGACGGTAACACTTCCTAAGCTCTTTGGGTACATAAGCGCAGCCAACACAGGGAACCCCATGCGTGTCAACGACTCACGTCCAGTGCTTATTTATAGAACATTTCGTACAGTGTTTAAACCCAAAACGTTTCATTGGAGTTCAGTCTTGAACATGTTTTATATAAACAAGGGCCTCGGGCCACCACACCGCAGACATCTTTGCATCCATTAATGCTCACCGTACTTTCCCAAACGTAGTTTGATGATCTCTCTCAGCTGCACCATTTTCTTCTGGTGAATATGGAATAGACTTTTGATAGGTTATACCCTTTAACTTGCAGAAGTCATCTAATTCTTTATTGACGCATTCAGTGCCACCATCACTTCGAATAACTCGAATCTTGATGGCGCCTTACCTGTCCAAGTTTTGAACAAGGTTTCGAATGTTTTCAAACACCTGGCTCGTTTTCTTGAGTGTAAAACACCATCGCCATGGCGTGGCATCTTCAACAATATTCACGTAATATTGCATGGCGAGTTTACCAGAGTAGACTCCCATCACTTTCATTCGTCCGTTTGTGTCCATATGGACAGTTCCAATTTCTCGAGAACCTCGAGCATTTCGGTAGGACATTCGACGCATTTTTATTGTAGCGCAGACCTTGCAAAAGAAAGGGATGCTATTGAGCATACTACTTTGCAGCTTAGTAGTCCTTTGACAAGACCACTGCTTAGCATGGTAATCACAGCTTCACGGCCCATATGACCGGTCCTTATATGCCATTCTCTAAGCAATGACTCAGCAAGAGATGCTGAGCCATGCACTGTTGATGTTACAGGTGTACACTTTGCAGTGTGACAAAATACCTGTCATTACTTGAGGTTGTGGTAACGAACATAATATGTTCCGTTCACAGCTATTGCGGTGAACATCAGATTTCCTTCCTTAAAGACGAATTTGTATGGGCCACTAAGACCATCTATTATGTGGAAGCCTTGGCGTTTCATTCTCGCTTATAATATTGGACGTGGCATTGGGGTTTCGTGGTTCCGGATAACAGGATTTGATCGCCGTTGATTGGTTATAACCATTCGCTGTTTGGTCGGAAACACGAGGCTTTGATTGGCCCAAATTCTTGAACAATAAGGTGCTACCTTTGGCCGTTGCAACAGCACTGTTGGTTGACACCTTGATCCGCTTTGCAGGAACCCCCTTGAAGTTCTTGCGCGCGATCCCTTTACTGAGGTCGCTCTTAAGCGAGGCGCAGTCGACCTTAAGATAGTCGTCCACGTTAGCTGTGCTGCGACAGTAAAAACACTCCGAGTAGGCAGTTGACTTTCTCTTATTAGCTTCGTTACGGTGAACCTTAGCTTGGTTGACGTGCACTTCACGTTTGGGGCGCTTGCTAGACATGTTTGCAATAGCCTCACTAGACTTGTCTCTAAACACCGCCTTCACTAGTGTCTCGATGGTGTACAGTTTAAAACCGTCAGTAATTTGGGTCACATTAGAGCCAAAATACTCATGGGGAAGTGCCACCACAATTGCCTGGGAGATTTGATATTCGGATATCAATGGGACTCCAATGTTTTTCGAATTCAGCTCATTAAGCTGATTCTGCAAAGAGCACATTCTCTTGATCAAATCAGAGACGCACTTAAATGGTTTCGCAGGTAGAGTTATAAACTCTAGGTACAAGGTTGTGCTCACATCGAGCGACGACTGCGCATACTCGCGTTCGAAGCGCGCCTAGACGTCAGTCAGGTTGAGGTCAGGGTTGTTGATCGTGCCGGGGAGCTAAATCAGAAACTCATTTGGAAACACTTTACCAAATAAGCTCCAGATCAGGCTCTCCTGTATGCGCAGGTAATAGAAGCGCTTCATCTTCTCGGCTCCAGGCTCGCTGCCGTCACGGAAGGCGGCATAGTCGGCGGCGACATCGACGTCGTTGATGATTGGCTTAAACTTCAGCCAATCAGAGTGCGCCAAGTTGAGTGGCTTCTTGACGTCCATAACACGCTTGTAGTCGTCTTCCGTCGACTTGGAGTTGAGGTGCGCGATGAAGCGGGCCTTCCAGGCGGTGAACATGACCTTCCCGTTGTCCGTGACCGACTTATCTATCGTTGGTGTGGCGTCGGACATGGGCACAGAGTAGTAGAACGTTGGGGGGGGCTTGGGGGGGAACTTGGGAGGGCGTCGGTACTTGAAATAACAGACGTATGCACACAACACATACAGATGTGGTTGTAGTGGCTCAAAGGAAGGTGATTCAGAAGTGAGCTGAGCTCTATAACCTCCATGATTATCATCGCCAAAGACATGTATACATGTAAGTAGTGCAACCTTAGCTGCTCTGATTGAAGTTTGTCATATATCTCAATATATGCAACCTTCAAGTACACCTTTTTTCTATTGACTTGGGACTTTTTTCAACGTTCTTGGCTTGGCGCTCATTCGAAAGGGCGATGTGTGCATTCATTTGGCCTTGTGGCCAATAAAATTGACACGTCGTGCCGCAACACCCTTTGAAATATACCATGCTACCAATGGAAAAGGCTCCACTACCCAACAATGTGCCAAGTAGCATTTCGAATCTGCCGTACTTGAAGTTGAGTTGGATCGAAGATTCTTGAAGGTTGCAGTTGGGCGATCTTCGCGCCCATTTTATTCACTTTTCAAAATCGAATTCCGTGCAACAATGGAGAGCGCTGCACCACAGACACCAGTACGACGTCGTCGCTCACGATACACTAGCCATGCTCATAGCCACGCAAGAAATACAAGCGCATCCCCTCGTCTGGAGTACTTCTACGGTCGTGCGGACCGAATGGAAGACATGGACGTCGACATGTAGCTGTTTCCTGCAAGTTTCTATGATTTTATCTGCTTTTTTCGCGTATTTGATAATAAAATTTCATATTCGATCCAACTCAACTTCAAGCACGGCAGATTCGAAATGCTACTTGGCACATTGTTGGGTAGTGGAGCCTTTTCCATTGGTAGCATGGTACATTTCAAAGGGTGTTGCGGCACGACGTGTCAATTCTATTGGCCACAAGGCCTAATGAATGCACACATCGCCCTTTCGAATGAGCGCCAAGCCAAGAACGTTGAAAAAAGTCCCAAGTCAATAGAAAAAAGGTGTAGTGTGTGTAGGATCAAAACAAGGTAGCTATTGGCCCTCGACACACTGAAGTAGTCGAGGGATGTGATGCCTGGAGCTCTTCCAGCTTCAATCTCATATATGTAGCTTTATCTATGTAATTTCAATCCTTGCCTGCCTAGCTAACAACGACTATTATAATAGCAACCCGAAACCATAGACGAAACCCCGAAACTCCTGTCAAGACGAATGACTACTTCAAAGTACTAGCGTGGTTAGTTTATTTAATATTTGAACCGAAGGCCAAACGTGCTACTACTACTGTAGTAACGTTAGAACCCTTCACTATTTGAACCAGAGACTTAGGTCACGAGTACGGTAGCTTGGTTTGGACCTGAAGAAAGAAGCAAACGCATATTAATAACTGAGGCTAAATATACCATGGATAATATGGTTATAAAAAACTATAGCTAGTTCTGCCTGTGTCAATATTATCAGTCTTGGCTTACTTTACCTACCGAGCAACAACGTTATTGGTGGTAGCCCCCGTCTTGTACAGTGGTGATCAGTCAAACCCGGTTAGTGCACCTCTCTGAGTATTGAAGATTTTGTATGGTTAGTGGGATGAGTACCAAAATATTTTAATAAATTTCGTTAGTTCTTGGGAAACAATTTTGTCGGTTTACAATTGGCTTAAATAATTCAAGTTTGGACCAATCATCATAACTATATCGTCACAGTGTACATGTCGCAATATTGACCGAAGCGACTTCAATAGACCTCTTGACCAATTACCACGTCACAAAATAATTGCACAATGTTTTAGCAATTTATTGGGTGATATTGGAAAATGCGATGGTTTCGACCACTGCATGGACCTATTTTGGAAATGACTGAGTGATTAACCAATGTTTTGAGTAAATTCCATTCGATTAAGTGATTTTGTGTTTTAGTCTGAAATAATAAAAACTGAGTAAAATTGTGACTTACAAGGACAAATCCATCCTGAGAAAAATCAATTTTTTAAAAATCAAAGTGACCAGAAACTATAGACGCAATAATTAGGGTGCACCAGTGAGTGGATTTTGTCCAGGCAAAAGCGTATTTCAGCCCCATTTTAGTTCAGCCTTTTAGTGAATTGCTTGACGACTAACAGTCCGCGAGAAGCATCGAGGGGACCAGTAGAGGTTTGTTGGGAAAAGTTTGGTCAATTTTCGTAGTTTTTGGTGCGTTTGATTCGTCAGAGCTTCCCAAAAACTACGCACACTTTAAACTACCCTAAAACACAATACATTGCACAATACGATGGATAAACTGTTCATTTCTATGCAAAATGTACCCACGAAGAAGCATTTCTCCTGAAAACTAATATCAAAGGCATGAGGTAGTCAAAGGAAATATAATAAATTTTTGTGTATTTAGAAACCTGTACATAAAATACACACCCGACAAGTACCCGACAATTTCAGGAGAACCATTGGCTGCCCGACACAAGAATCGTGACTTGATTCGTCAACGGATTTTGACGCCTAATCATTGGACGAGGATCTTGTCGTGGGAGCAACATTGATTAACATTTGACATGTACGCGATGCCATTCGGCAGTTAAATATATGTCATCGGTTACACCACAACTATCGCAAAATCCCATTCTGCAAAATGGAAAGCGTGCCCACCAAACAAACCATCCAGTACTCGTTCCGTGGAGCGTCGACACGACGAACATACCAAACGTACCAGACGCAATTCCAAGAGTTCTGCGTGTCACACAAGCACGGTCTCGACCCTGCTGCAGCCACGACAGAGGACTGCACCGACTTCTTTCACCATCTTTACTCGCTTGGTCGCAAACCCCGTACCGTCGACTCCGCCAAAACTTCCCTGGTGGCCTACTTTAAGGACCAGCATGTCGAGCCCAACCCGGCCCAAGCACCTTTGTCCAAGCAATACGTTGTGGGACTTCAAAAGTACAATCGACAAAACAACGTCGACGATGAAAAGAAGGCTCACCCGCTTACTATCGACGAGCTCTCAACCCTCATCAACGGATTTTCCAGACTCAACCCATTCGTCGGGGCTATGTTTCGCTGCTTGTTCTCCTGCTGCTACTTGGGCTGCTTCCGCATTGGCGAAATGTTGGGCCTCAAGTGGGGTGACGTCGCCTTGGGCAAGTCGGCGCATGGTCCATACGTCTCGGTTCGCTTGCGCTGGCACAAGAAGGCAAGTGTTGAGAAGGAATGCCAAGTATACGACTAGGTCAATGAGGACTCATACCCATGCCTTCGTGTGTGCGGGCTGTATGAGGACTACGTCGACAAGATTGCGGCGACTCTCATGCAGACGTCAAACCTTTGTTCCCGCATGTGACGATGCTCCCAAGTGGAAACGTCAAGGTTGACTGGTTCAAGGCAATGGAGCAAAACTTTGTGCGCCGACAGCTCAACGACAATGTCGAGTCAAGTCCTGGGTTACCTGTCGGGATATCCCTGCACATCATGCGGCGTGGTGGTTGTTTCTACCGCGTGTTTGAGTCGCCTGAGCGGCGTTTTGACTTCCGGGAGCTTATGGCCTGGTGTCGCTGGGGGGATGCAAAGACCTGCTGTGAGTACCTTGTCACAAGAACATTGAGCAATGCCATTGACCCGCGCTTGTTGCTTGAGAAACGGTCCCTGGTTCCAAGTGGTGTTCATGGTGGTAATCTTGGTGTGCATCTTACAGCGGACAACATCGCAGCTGCGGTGATGAAGTGTCTGCGCGTGGAGTCAGTCTTGTCGCAACACGTTGGGCTGCCCGTGGCAAAGCGGCAGCAGACAATGCAAGAATTCGTGGTACCGAAGAGTATTCCGACTGCTCGTTCAGGGAAGGAAGCATGGGAGCAATGGTTTTCAGTGGATCCCAAGCGTGGTGTTTACTGTGCCCTCAAGGACTATTCCAAGGAAATGATCAAGAGTGACCGTCGAAAGTACTCCGAGCGGCAGACCCTGGCGACTGCTTTCAACAAGTATCAGAGCTATGCTCAGTTTGAGAATGATTACGGTGGTCATGCAGATTCGTACTGGGGTTTGCTTCAAGAAGTTAGGAAGAGAAAGCGAGAAAATAGGTTGTAAGTTGAATATTATTGTGTGCGTACTTCGTTCATTTAAATTCCTAATTGGTTCACGATCGTAATTGCAATAGCCAAAACAAAATACTTCAAGCCTAATCTACCAAGGCAAAGGATAACCTTTGTACTCCGTCAACAAGAACCCAGTTAACCCGTTGCCTCGGTCGATTCCCTGAATTGGACTGTGCCACAGTGGAACCGAGGAGTGGGATGGTGTAGTTGACGGCCTTGGTAGCCCCCCGCCCGAAAGCAGGTTAAGACGAAGGTGAGTGTTAGTGGCAAATTGGACAGTGAACGATTTAAGTTAATAGCGTTTCATCATGTTTATACGAGCATGACAGGACGAGTATGAAATTTCGCACACAACAGGACGAGAATTTCAACCAATCAGAGCGTTGTCGGGTAAATTTGTCATGTAGGAGGATTAAGGGATACATATAATTACCATATGTCGATCAAAATACCTGAGCAAATTACACCAATATTCACCTTTTTAGGCTATCTCACTCAGTTTTACTCCGTTTTGCGCGAAATAAGTGCCAAAATGACCGCCGTGATTGGGCCCACCGACAAACTTATGGCCGTAAAACCGGAAGTATCACTTTCCAAATGGACGCGCCGGCAATCCAACACATCGAGGCATTTGTCAAGCTGCGCCTGCGGCGCAGCCTGACATACGATGAGAAGATTGACATCCTGTGGGTACAAGCCACTCTTCGTAAAGAGAATGTTACAGGAGTCACTGGAATCATTGCTCGACTACCCGGTTGAGCACCGAGGACCGTGAAAGACGTTCTTGTCGAGTATCTCAATATTGGAGATATTTCTGTGTCTGACGCACCATCGAACAATAGTGCCGTATACTCGTGTTGTTCGCATGCTGGTGGGGACCTTCATTCGTGACCGTGGCGTCACACGAACCCGCACAGTTGCCAAAGATGTCTTGTCATACCTCCTGGACAACAAGATCGTTGCAGTTGCCTCTGGATCGCCCAAGGACTACGCGTCCTGCCTGCGCTCGATCCAAGCCTTACTTGTTAAGGAAGGTTATGCACTGGAAAAGCAATCGGGGCCGACGGAATATCGAATGTCGAAAGCGCATGAGGATGCCAGAGACGACTACGTGGTCATGATGGTGCCTACCGTGACGATGGTGCCCCGGCGACCTGTTATTTACTTGGATGAGAGCTTCATTCATCACCATTACACCTGACATGACGACAACTTGTACCACCCTGAAGACCCTGCCACCAAGCTGAAACACAAGGGGCAGCGGTACTGCTTTGCGGCTAGGATCCTTGATGATGGATCCGATGTGGCGCACCTGCTGGGCCTCGACATAATCGTTGGTGGGAAGAAAAATGGCCAGGAGGTAAAAGACTACCATTCCATGTTTAACCATGACTACTTTGTCGACTGGTTTGGCAAACTGCTGGACGAGGTCGAAGAGCTGGGGTGGTCGTCGTCTGTTGTGTTTGTCATGGACAATGAAAAACACCACAAGGGAAAGCCAAAAGACACACCAAAGGGGACGTGGAAGAAGGACGATCTCTACCAGGCCTGCGTCCAGTACAACCTTGCCAGCGTTGGTCTGACCGACCTGAAGACGACGATTTGGAATACCTTAAAGAAACACCTCGATGAGCATGTGCTACCTGTGATTGTTCAGATGGCTCAGTCACGAGGACATCATGTCGTCTACACTGCACCGGGGTTTTCCGAGCTTCAGCCTATCGAATTGGTTTGGGCCAACGTCAAGGGAACCGTTGGTCATGCATACACCTCGACTACTACCTTTCGAGTTGTCCTCGAGCGACTCCAGCAAGCGTTCTTTGAGTTGGACGGTGAGTTGATTCTCAGCAGTATCGAATCCTCCACCGCGAAGCTCCTCAAGCTTGACAGAGATCTCCGTGAGGCTGAAGCGGGAGTGGCCATTGTATCCCATCGAGAAAGTGATAGCGACACTTCAGCGTCAAGTGAGTGCGGCAGCATGCGTGGCGGCGAGAGTGACGTTTAGCCTCGCGTAATGAATTACTTGTAATATGTTATGCTCTTTTTTAACACGTTTAGTGAGGTCAACAATTAAAACTTTAGCCTCTGCAAAATAATTATCGATTTTGAATGGTTGGTCTGATCCCCTGGATGGTCTCGTGGACTGTAAATGGATGCATCAAAACCGTTGCATTTGATATATAAAGTATTCCAAAAGTCGAAAACATTCCTGCAGACGAATTCGACCACTTTTTTACACTCCAAATCGATGTCAAGTCTATTTAAAGCATACTACTTGTCACTATCAAGATCTTAGTTTCCTTCCCTCAAGCGCCTGCCATGAGTACGCTATGTTCTTCATACGACAGAACTGGCACTCGTTGGAGATTTGGACATGATGAACTCTGCAAGTGCTGTCTTGCGTTTTGCATTCGTATAACGCTGTTGTCGCTTGGGTTGCTCCATTGTCGAAATGAAAGTGAAATGCAAGTGTGTGGGGTGGCAATTGAAATGTGTTCAAATGTTTGACAGTTTGCGACACCATTGAGTAACTATTTGTCTTCTTCATAAACTTAGGTATGAGGTATGTATACATAAAGTTTCGGACTAGAAAAATCAACTTCCAAAATGAATAAATGTATTATCAAGGTCGATTCAGCCAACAAAGGTATGAATGTTCTACTCCGAGTCACTCGCTTCGTCACTTGAATTTCCTCTTTCTGCTGACGATTCGTCATCTGACTCGAGCGCATCAATTTGCACCAGGTGCTCATGCAGCTTTTGTAGCTTCTCTTCAGCCACGCGGACACATCCTTTAATAGATTGTGGCTTCAAGTTCACAAATACACCCTCAAGACGCTCATTCACCTAATAACCATATTAGAGTAAATCAGCATAAGAGTAATTATATACTAGTTACTTCACCTGAGCAAACGACGTCATATCAGTGTATAATCGACCAACCTCACCCTTGGCAATGGTCCATACCATCTCGATCGGCTGGAGATCC